TTTTTTTTGTTCTTTGGAACAGGCCAAAACTTGGTTTGCTTTTTATCTGCTTGCTGCAAGTGATTCGCGGCCTAGCTGTTGGTACTTCTATATTTACGGATGTGATGAAAGAAGTTCTGGTTTTACTTCTGACTACCATCCCAGTCTGGTGTTTTCCGTTCTCCACCATCCGGGTAGATGGGACAGGATATTGTTCTTGATTGAGATCTCGTAACCCCTTTGTTTTTCCTTTCTCCTTCGGGGTCTTTGGCTTATACCATCTGTTTCGTTGTCTTTCTTCACCCTGCGAATATCCGACAGTTATCGTTTTCTTTTCTATTGATGGCCGACTTGGCGCCCTTTTGGTACGGTTGGCATGGCCTTACCAAACGCATTTTGATCCGGTCTATGGGGAATACATATCTGGTACCAGACGCCCAGGAGATATGTTCTTGGGGGGTGGATGTAGCGGCGTTTTGCAGGCAGCATGGCGCAGGGAGGTATTTCGGTGGAGTTGTTGCATTGGGCGGAGATGCCTAGATAAATGAATTATGAAGTTTAATGCCTTGATCCGATCTAGTATACGCGTTCCGTCTTCTGAGAAATCGAGTAGGGTCTTTGAAATGAACTGTTTCTAGTGTACTAGGATGTTTAGAATGGATCTGCCTATAAATCTCTGCCTTGCCTTTCGTGGTTCAAAGAACCTTCTGGATATGGCCACGTACATATGTTATACATCATTGAGGGCATACTTCATGTTCTACTAGGGCCTATTCCGTGTGAAAGTGCTAGACAGATGAGAAGCCCATAGTCTATGACCGGGAAGCGCAACTCATACATGACGTACACACCATTTAAGCTTCTCGAAGGCGATTCTGGAGTGAGACTACTAGCCTTGGTGAATACTGTACCCACTATATTCTCGTACGCATATGGATAGTAATTTTACTGCATGGAAGAATGATGGAAAAGATAAGAAGACTGCCAAGGGTAAGGCTGAGAGGTTATCCAGAGGACATACCGCCAGAGATCGTCATTGATCAGTTATACACTATCACTTGCAGTTCTGGTACTCATTTACTAGTAATGTGGATGTAGGGAAGGGGAAGCCCTGATTGGGTAGCCTAAAAGGCATAGTCGAACACTATTGCAATATTATCAGCCAAAATGAGGTCATAGATGGGGTTTCGCTTGTGGGCTTTTTCTCCCCTAGTGAGTTTTTCTTTTTCTTTTTTTTCCCTGGTGGTGTTTTGGACTATTCGTATCCTATTTTTGGGTGGCGGTGGTGGATTTAAGACTGCACCCGTGTCACGAGTTCTATCCCAACCACCCCTGCAGGTATCTCTGCTCATTCTGCTCATCGGAGTTTTTCCGGGCAGGTTTCATAAATCAGGATCCATGTCAAAAACAATTCACTTGAGGACTGATAAGGGTAGGACTGATAGGAGGATCTGCCGTCCACCTTCTCTAGCAAAGAACTCACCTGAACCACAGCACATTGTTCTCTTCGCACCTGCAGAAGTGGATCAGGGTCTGTCCAACGGTCAACTATGGATACACTGCAAAATGATGTGCATGGTGCAATTCTACTGTGAACTTTGAATTCAAAGAAGCGGTGTTGACGCGGAGATCCGGCTCAAAATGTGGTTGATATGATGACCCTGCGTTGCCCCTAAACCGATAACGGGATAAAACACTACCTGCAGATTCGGTATCGTGCCCTTTTTTTTTTTTTTTTTTTTGTACTTGACCCACTCTGCTCGACCCAGGGATGGAATCCACTCCTGCTTTGTACGTACTCCGTACGTACGAAACTTTTCCTTTTTTCTTTTCTTTTCTTTTTTAGGTAAAACGAGTGTTTGCTTTTCGCTGTTTTACGTGTGGGACTGTTATCAGACGGACTGACTACGCGGAGAAGACTGCTGCTGTGCTGCTGCCCCACTTGCTCTTGAGGTAGGCCGATCTAAATATCAGTATTACTGTTTTCAGTAGGTGTAGAATCTTTAGGGCAGTCGCTCAAAGGTTAGTATCGGGGATAGTCGGCAGTAGGGTAAGATGTGATGATGACGGTGGGTGGGTGGTAGTAAGTACGATTTGTGCCTCGTGGGGGTTCGGATGACTTGATTTTATCCACACAGCATGATATTGTATCCGGAGTGGCCATTATCCATTCCGATTACATCTCTATCTATGTATAACATGGGAGTTTCAGCGTGATAGGTGGAGAGTGGGCACAACACTCCGTCCCGTAAAACAACTCCAGTCGATATTTATAGCGGTTTGAGATTGATATGTACGAGGGAAATTTATGGGCCATAACAGTATGACTCGAGGCCCTCAATGGAGACTACGGACCCGGAGTAATGTAGGATCAGCCAATCTCAGAGATTACTTTCAACGGCGAACCGATGGTTGGAGATGGACCCATTCGGTAGATGCGTTGATGCCTACTCCGTACGGTTTGCTGGTCATTGTCTCCGTCAGGGGAGGGGGGTATGTACAGACAGAGTAGAAGGAGGCAAACTTTGATTCTATTTACGAGGGGTGGTGACAATCTTCCTTCCTCTATTCCTTGGGTCGCTTCAGGTATAATGACTTAAGTAATAATGTAGGAGACGAGAAAGGGGGTTGGTGTTGGCATGACTGATTGATTGATGGGTTTTACTAAGGAGCTTACACTACTACTGTGTCCTGTGTCCACACTAAACCTATTGTAAAACCGAGCGCGCTGCGAACCGCCCCGAAAAGGGCTTAGTGCCCACTGTTCCTGACGCTAACCCTGACGGACCACCACCGCGCTATACCAGAAACGGTTTAGGGGGACATGCCCCCATTTCACGCATAACGGAGAGTATGAATGATGCATCTCCATCTCTCTCGCTTCCCCTTAAGGGCGATCGGAACGTCGTCATCAATCGCCCGATAACCATGGATGCTCATGTCGGATCGTAAGACAGCCTTCCATGGATTGATTCAATGAAAGTAACTTCTTTTGTATTCTACGCGAACGGGCTAACCGATCAGAATTAGCAGCCACCCCAATATATGTTAACCCCCTAAACAAATGCGAAGGGAGTCTCATCATTACTCCTTTGGGTTTGACTTTGCCAATCCTCTTCGTCGAGGGAACTAAACTCTCCACCCCGAACACCTTAGCCCACGGCCTTCCTCCCCTTTTGGCTCTGCTGCAGTTTCCCTGGGGGACAATCCACGCCCTAGGATTCTTTTAGTCCATTCGTTGCCCCCCTTGTCGTTGGTCCTGGATGACACGAGTTTCTCCGCTTTCCTCCGCAGCCTCGCGGTCATTTCTTAGCACGAGTTACAGGCATCGCTAGTCGGGAACACACGATCCTCATTCCCCTTGTGGGGACGATCGGCCCCCGACTGCCGTGCCATGTTCTCCTAGTTCCTGCCACTCTAAACTAAAGGGAGAAGTGGCGTGTCTGTGGTATGTGCTCCAAAGGCTAAGTTTCCCGTTGATGCGCCCCATCCTGAACGACTTTCCTGACGAACTGATTGGACTAGTCATTGATACGCTCTGTCCGTATTTCTTCAATCATATTGCGCGTTGCTCCCCCGTTTGTATCTTGTCTTCTGTCTGAAAATAGTGGTTCTTTTTCTTTTTCTCTTTGTTCCATCGTTTGCTTGATTTTTCCCCTTCTGTACGACGCATTGTTTTGCATCGCTCGCTACCAAAAAGATCTTGACACTGGATCGATCTGTATCGCCTCCATACATCCTAAACGGACAGCGTGCTTTTCGGTGGCCCATTCGTTCCCCACTCGACCGCTTCTTTGCCCCCTTTCCCTTTTCACACGGTCCTCTTGTCTCACGGGCTTTCTCTCATCTACTACTAGATTTTTGTTGACCTGGTTTTGATACCTATCCAATGCAACATACACTTTCATAATGAGTGTCATCGCCAGTAGACCCGATAGCGCTGCTATGCCCTATTCGCCAATTCCTCATCAAAATCACGGTTACAAGGATCCTTATACAGTGACAGTGCAGCCGGTCTCATCTCGCACGTCATCAATTTCCTCCTTTAAATCCAACTATAGTGTGTCGACAGCCCCGACAGTGTACTCCCCAATCTCGCCTAGCCCTTCATATCATCTGTGCGATTCTGCTGCGTCTTTGGATAAAATCTTGGAATCAAAGTTTAAACGCCTGCCGCTGGACGTGCTCGATAATGTTTTAAACCAACTAGAATCGTTGCATACTAGTTCAAATCAGCAGGGATGCTTAACATGCTACCAGCGCGATTTGCACGCACTGTCTCTGACTTGCCGGACATGGGAAAAGGTGGTTAGACCAAAACTGTGAGTGTTAATTGGTTTCCCCCCCCCCCCTCTCTCTCTCTTTTTTTTTTAGATCAGCGGTAGTACTCAAGCTAGATATCAAACGCTGACCAAGTGACACGATGCATTAGTTACAATCGTATCCATATCATTGGCAACGATTCCCCAGCCCAACTGAAGAAATATCGGATGAAGCGAGGAAGCCGGTTAAAACTCCTTCGACGCACTCTCCGGGAAAGAAAATTGCTGGCCAATCTTGTCCTGGAACTTCGTGTCCCCCAAATGGATCTATTGTTCACACAAGGGAAACAGAGCACCCAATGGCAGGAGTACAGAGATTTGGTAGCGTCTGTCGTTATGGTCTGCCCCAACCTGGAACGGTTGTTGGGCTTAAGTATTCCGTATAACCACCAATTCGATCGGCTGACCCACGCATTATCTACACGACGAAAGCTGAAGGAACATACATGGCTTTTGGGTGAGGCAGTTGACGTTTCAGAAGAATCGCCTCGCGGCACTTCCTGCCCTGGAAGTCTGGGACCCTCACAGATGTTCGAGTTCTTGGACTATCACGCCTCGTGGACAAACCTGGAAACCCTGATGCTATACGGAATTAGCGAAAGCAATGCCCTTGAGCCGAGCATTTTTCTGCGCATGTTCAGCCTCCTACCATCGCTACGAAACCTGTGCATTGCAAATTTCGACGCAGAAGCCTTCGGGGATAGCACTTTGCTATGCTTGCCGCCATTGGAATCGTTGCGCCTGGAGAACCTGCCCGGCGTTACTGATACAGGATTATCGCAGTACACGTCGCGCACTGAATCCCATTCGCTCAAGTCATTGGCCCTTGTTGAACAAAATATTGAATCCTTACTCGTGATCTCGAAGATCTTAACATCCCTGCCGCAGTTAGAACGGTTTAAAATCGTTCAGAATGACAAATGCCCCACGCTAAATAGCGATGGGATTATCTTCCAGCCGTTGTTCGCCTCATCTACTCTCAAATACCTTCATTGGGATGTTGCTTGTCCCAATCCTAACACTGCCCTGACCAGGCTTGATTATGCTCCATTTGTGAAACCCCCGAGACATATCAACACACCCAACTCTCATCTCGCCCAAAGTATTCTTTCGGACGGGTTTCCTCAGCTTGAGGCGCTCCGTGCACCATCTGATATAGAGCCACCTGGTGTTCTGCAGGCTGTGTGCCAGCCCATCCCCAAAGGGCAGGCTCTTCTTCAGCCCGATCGGTATAGTCTCCCTCGCAGTTCCCATGGCTCTGTTAGCACACGACCAATGGCCTTACCGGCGGGAAATAACCTCACCTCGGCTCGGATACGAGCTCAGACGTTCATTGATATGGCTGCGAAGGATACGGAAACTGGAATGAGGGTACTCGTCACTGATCATTCTGACGGTTATGTGCCAGACAATGCCTTGGAAGACATGTCAGATGACGATTTGGAGATGGACATGGACGACTCTGCGGAATGGGATTCACCAGAGCGGTCGAGACATGATAAGTTACCTGAGAATCACGACGGGCCTGTTACCGTGTGCGACTTTAGGATGCCCGCTTACATGGGCCGAGTGGGCAGCAGGAGGAAGGGACGAGATGTATCCATTCCACGGTTCATCCTGCGCCCTGATGTACAGGGACAAGAAGCTGACGGCGGCCTGGTTGGCTGGAAGCACATACTGGCCTCGAACCAGTCCTTAACATACGCCGCAGGAGTCGGGGTACACTGCTTCGGAAATAAGGCCAACACCAGCCCACTCCCGGAGGAGCCTCCATCTCCTGCATCGACGACTGCCAGCCGATTTGGCTTCGGAGGCATCACCAGGAGCTCGACATTTGGCTCGAGCCCCAACACTCCCATGACACCCTCAACACCCATGAGCCTCTCGTCGCCGACTGCACTTCCATGGGACAAGGACACCTGCACCGGTTCCTGGAATTATAGCCATAAAAACGGCCGAGATTGGTGGTTCCACATGGAGCGGGAATGCCCGGGAAATACCAAGCTCATCGACGTCAAACAGCTTTTTTAGCCCGTTTAACGATTCGCGCTCCATTGACGCGATTTCACGATTATACCACTAGTCTTACGCCCCAGACATGCCTTTCAATCGTTCCCTCTTTCCCAAAAATAAGCATGCAGGGCCCATGCAATAAAACTGCGCGGAGATGGCGTTATGGATGGATAACGGAGGAAATTTTCTTTTTTATATCTCGAATACCTTGGAAAGGTCTCACTTCTCTTCCCTCTTGAACTTGACTTGACTTGCGTTCACCCAGAGTGCAACGATTCCTTCTATTGCTAATATGAGCACATACACCCAGACGTGAGAATCCCCTCCGTCATACTGCACATATATTCCTTTATCTGTTTTTTCTTTTTCTTTTATTTCTTCTTTTCTATCTCTTTCATATAAGGCGCATCTACCGGATAAGGACGGAATTAATCTGGGACACGGTTATCTAATTGGGTGGTGCTCGGTTATATCTTTTTGACTATACCTTGTATTCTTTCATTTTTTTTTTTTTTTCTTCTTTATCCTGATCTTGTTACTCGATGAGGAGCTGTACATCGCCATCTGTATGTATGTATGTATGTATGTACATGGACTAGATCACTACTGTAGGTCTACTATAATGCTTAGTGTTATTACGAGTAATATGTGACTAGTTAGTCTTCTTTCATGATTCTCGACTGTAAATACTCTTCTAGATATAGTAACTTCCTAGGGTTTTTCTGGTACTCTCCTACTCTGTCTTCTAGTTTGGTGGTCTTAGAGTACTGTAATCCTGAAGGCACCCCTCAATTAAGCTACTGTTACCCTATTAGAGCTGGGCTGGATTTCTAACAATTTAGGTCTGCCCAAGGCCAGTAAGAGAATAAGATACTGGTATAAACCAAGGCAATTAAACACCCTCTATCTAGGTGACTACGCTATCTGACAAAAGAAAAACCTTGTAGCTGAGCAAAGTAGAGCACTCGTAGCCTAAAGAGCTATCTGTCTATTGCTATAGTTGTGCCAGTGTCTTTATGAATATAAACAAGAGTAACTAAGTCAAACGCAAAAGCTACTACTTATAAGAGGTAACTGTACCACGGTTAAGGCGGCAATAGTAATAATTAGTATATAGAAAGATCCTCCATTGACCTAATTGAGTGGTCTGAAGGGGGAAAAAAAAAAAAAAGAGAGAGAGAGAGAGACGTAAATATATACTGTGAAGCCTGTTTCCTGTTATTAAGATTGTTCTACTTCTGCTCCTGAAAACTAAAATATCTTTGGATATTCTAATTCTCACGGTTCGTTAGACCAGTAATACGCATCGTGATTCGTCAATGATTCAGACACCGACCCGACAGTTTATTGAACTGACAACCTCAATACAACGAATTATAAAAAGACTTCACAGTCATGAGTATATCTGAAAGCATACCAACCTCACACGACTACAGGGTAATCGATCCCGATTATGACATTATTCTCATCGTGACACCGAAACCGACAGCGTCGTCAGACCCAAAGCCGGAGCCAAAGGCGACCCGATTCAAAGCTTCCTCAAAACATCTGACTCTCACATCGAAATACTTTAAAGGGAGGCTGAACTCGCCATGGCCCGAGGGGGAGGAGCTCAAACAAAAGGGAATAGTCGAGTTGGATATTCCCGACACAGACCCAGAGGCATTTGAGGTGGTTCTTAATCTGATGCATTGCCGTACCAAATTGGTCCCTCGCGAAGTTGAACTACCACTGTTAACCCAGATAGCCGTCGTTGTCGACTACTTTGACTGCCATGAAGCTCTTGGGCTGTATCCAGAGTCATGGGTAAACAAGTTAAGGGATTCTGTCCCTGGCATGTTTTGTGCAGATGCCATAAACTGGATTTTCATCGCCTATGTCTTTGGCGAAGCAGACATCTTTTCATGTGTAACTCGATTAGCGCAAGCGCAAGGTCTTGGTACATTTGATACACGCCAGCTTCCCATTCCGAAAAAAATCATAGGTGAGAGACACCGAGAATCCAAACCCATAGGAATTAATTCTCATATATATATATATATTTAGATGGCATCAACAGCGTACGAATCGATACATTGACGAAGATGTTCAAGATCCTAACAGATTATCAAGAACGGCTTATGGGTCCTAAAGTTATCTGCTCTTTCGAATGCGATTCAACAAAACTGGGTGCAATCATCAAGACAATGAAGTCCCGTGGTCTACTCTTACGTGCTGAAAATGCATCATTCCCAGGATACTCCGTCAGAAAGATTCTCGACTGCATTTTAGACTTCCCGAGAATTGAAGTATGCGGAAAATGTTCTTCTTATGGATTTGGATCCCGAGAAAAATACAGTATCATCGATCGAAGTACCAAAGCGGAAATTGAAAGCGCTGCAAGATCACTCAATGGACTCAGTATTCCAAACGTCTTGTAGCCTCCCCCTCAAAGGTCTGCACAAATACGGCGTTATGCGTACTCGGACTTGGACCCGGATTAACAGTCAAATCATAGTCATTTTACTCATTGCACATTGGAAGTATACGAAGCCTACCTTCTAAATACGTATTTCACTGGGCTACATAGCTACATACTGCTTTTTCTGAAACATTGTTTCTCCCTGATTCACCAGGAAATCAAGTTTCTTCCAAGATTTGATTACGAATACCGGGATATTGATTAACTAGTTAAAGGTTAGTTCTTCCTCGCTTTATCAAATTGTCACATAAGATACTACCAAACAAAGGATATTGTTCTTTCTTCTTCTTTCTTCTTCTTCTTTTTGTTGTTACTTCAACGGGTGGATTTTCTATCCATGCTTTTGAGGATCCTCTCTAGGTTGAAATCGTTTCAACTATGAGAGAAATGAGAGGCAATATTCGAGGAACCAAGGGTCCGTATGCGTAGGCGTTCGGTCTAGTCAATTTTTGATAGCAGCGATTGGTATGGCCATTGGCCCTATCTGGGGAGGCTTCACGTATGAGAAATTTGGCTGGGCAACCATGCGATATTCGCTAGGGATCCTCTTCGCAGTCAGTTCTATGCCTAGTCTTGTCTGGACAGGTGGGTTTGTTTTTAAACGGAATAAACATAAATCAACTTCAATGTGGCACGACAGAGAGCGTAGCGCGACTTAGATCCGTTATCTCTTCTATTTATTTATATATATATGACCCGAATTCTGGAAGATGATCTACACCATCATTTACTGCCAGTCTTCCGTTTGTGGCAAAAGCAGGAGATTTCTCCAAGGGTTACTCTGGGTATAGAATGATGAGGATAAACGGCTAACAAACCCAAATGTAATTATGTTTATTTATATAGGTCATTAACCGACTAAAACAGGATATGACATGCTAAATATTTCGAAATTGACTTCCGTCAGGAACCGATACGTAGATACACGGCATAAGAGGAAGGCCGGGAGAGACAGATAGAAACTAAAAAAATGATACGATCGTGAAGGGAAGTAAAAAAATTCTTAAGTCTAACATAACAGTACATTAGACGTAGATGCCCATGTTGGTATCCTTCTTCTTGGCTTGTACTTCTGCGATAGCATCGACGTAATTTTCGTGTCCGACCTTGTTCATTCCCTTCCGGAGAGCGATCATACCGGCCTCGACGCAGACGGCCTTGAGTTGGGCACCGCCAAACTCGTCCGTGCTGCGGGCCAGTTCAGCCCAGTTGACGCTGTCTTCTACGGCCATCTTGCGGGAGTGGATCTGCAGGATGTTGGCGCGGGCTTCCTCGTTAGGGAGGGGGAACTCGATCTTGCGGTCCAGACGACCAGAACGGAGGAGAGCGGGGTCCAGGACGTCGACACGGTTCGTGGCGGCGAGGACCTTGATGCGGTCGTCGGAGGCGAAACCGTCCAGCTGGTTAAGGAGTTCCAGCATGGTTCGTTGCACTTCACGGTCACCGGACTTTTCGGAGTCGAAACGTTTTGTGCCGACTGCATCGAGTTCGTCGATGAAGATGATCGAGGGCGCCTTCTCCTTGGCGAGGGCGAAGCAGTCGCGGACGAGTTTGGCTCCATCACCGATGAACATCTGCACCAGTTGGGGGCCAGCGAGTTTGAGGAAGGTAGCGTTTGTCTCTGCGGCACAGGCTCGGGCGAGGAGGGTCTTTCCGGTACCCGGGGGACCGTACATCAGAGCACCTAGGAAATATGAGTGTTGGTAAATTCTGTGGTTGAGCTGGAAGGTAAGAGGGTCATTTACCTTTCGGTGCCTTGATACCGAGCTTCTTAAACCGATCGGCCTCCTTCATCGGCCATACTATAGCTTCGACGATTTCTTCAATCTGCTTATCCAGACCTCCGATATCTGTGTACTTCTCTGTTGGCTTCTCGTCGACTTCCATGGCCTTCACACGGTTATCATATTCAGCGGGTAATGTATCCAGGACGAGATATGAATCCTTGTTTACACCAATGAGATCACCGGGCTTAAGCTTCTCATGATCTACCAGACCAATGAGGGGGAGATAAATCGTTTGACGGGTCGAGGTTTTGATGACAGCAGACTTGCCGACTCGAGTAGCATCGAGGTCGATGTTGGCGCCCTCTTCGGCGGCTTCAGCCTCGACGTCCAAATCCAACAATTCAACCACATTTCCAACAAGGTATGGTAGTTGTCTAGGGAAGAAGGTGTTAATAAAAATGTCCCGACATACAATAACACGATGACATATGCCGCGACAGCCCAAACCCTCCCCCCTCGCCACTATGGGTAATGTGACCCAGCCAGCTTCGAAAGAAGGGAACGGGAGACCCAGCATATCTCAAAACCCCATACCTGTTATTTTCAATCTTCTCTTGATTATCTTTAACCTTTTCTCTCATCGTACTCTGTTCGTGCGTCAACCGTTGATATTCACTCTTCATTATACGCATTTCGTTCTCCAGCATCCGCCGTCGCTTGACGATGTCCGCTGTGCTCGATTGTAGAATCTCATCGTCCAAGAGGTCCTCTTCGTCGTCCTTCTTCTCAGCGTCTTTCATGTCAGCGTCTCCGTCTCCGGAGGGCTTCCTGCCGTCGCCGTCGCCATCTTGGGGCTTCTTCTCTCTCTCTTCACGGTCAAGGTCGTCGAGATCTTCCAAGGTCGACATGGTGGCAGCTAAGTATTAATTATGGGGGCAAGAGCAAGATGAGGGATAAACAGGTATTCTAGGAGGGAATGAGAGGGGGGACGGCGGTGATGCGTTATGGGATGGGTCTTGCGGGAAGAGAGTGAGAGCTGTTGAGCTCCGGACCAAACAACGTCAGCTGCTGGGTGCCTATCACGTGATATAATGACAAATGCCCTGCCAGTTGATGCCTCAGGTTACATATTATATAGTTCACATTCTACTCGGAACGAGGGTACCGTTTGAACTGTGTAAATCCTCTATCCTTTTCTTCTTCGCTTAAGCCAAGGCATATGCTTTGCCTTCCGGTATGCATCCCCTATATACTGCAGAATATGTACAACTAACAACTCCCTATGCACAACTCCCGGCAGAACTTAAAAGGTTGCCGAAGACTCCTATATACTGATGCCTTACAGGAAGAAGTTAGGGTTGTCCATACGTCCTGTAAAGTTGCCTATGTTGTCCAGGATCTTCTCTCTGCCGAATCTTAAGAGGCGATAACGCGAAACGAAGTCATCGCTGTTGACTGAGCGGTATTAGCATGTTCTCTCACGGAATCGTTGCACTGTATGGAGATCTATGAGGTTGGTGCTACTTACTGTATCCGCCACACATCCTTCGCTTTCCGGTGAATTCGGAGCGACCATGAAGCATCCTCCAGTTGTCGAAAACTAAGCCAATCAGCTAAATCCTATTATTCCTAGGAAAGATCGTGTTTAAGTCAATACTTACTAAGTGCTGTTCCTGGCTCTAGCTGCGTCCATATTTGCATATTCTCACGTGTGATGATGTCGTTAAAGTGCCGGGCTGCGTTGTACCATCTATTCTGCTCTCCTAAGGTCCAGTCTTTCTTGGCCGCTCGGTCATAGTTGTTCCAGCGGATTTGGTAAAGGTAATTGAACTGCGGGTGGATCTTGAAAATAGGCATTTGTTCTGCCGGCTGGATGCAGGTATCCTCATTGCCACTTGAATGGAACGGCTGTGGTGTTTCTGCTAGCACTTGATAGTTTTGTGGATTCTCTGCTCGCATGACTTTTGCAGCCTGAAAGCCATCGACAAGCAAGCTCGCACCTCCGTCACCGTCGGTATGTGACAACAGATGGAACAGTTGAAGTCGTGCCGGGTCAGTGAAGTACGTATTATCTGTATGTGCACCGAGGAATTCTGTGGTATATGCAGTGTCCTTGAACGTCAAATCGGCCGTAAAATCCCAAAAGCCACCTTTGCGTAATCAGTACAAAAGACTAGAGAGCTTAATTCGTATCGTACGGGAGGTTTTACCATAGTGAGTATGTCTGATGAAAGCGATTCTCTCCAGGAGGGTTTTGGTTGACTCCGGGTCAACGGGGATACCCTTGACGAAGCAGAAGCCATGGAGGTACTTTACAGCAGTTAGATAGGGGTCGAAAGCAGAGGGAGTAGGCAGAACGTACAATTTGGTGAAGCCATTCACGTAAGCCCTCGTCACTAGACATGACATTTTCATATAAGACTATTGGGTAAGAGGTACTTTCGGGATTGTGAGTGATAAACTTTCTACACATGAGTGTCAGTACAACGCAGCTTTATATCCAAAAGACATATTTACCTCGTCCTCCCGCTTGGGCGTGACTTGTTAACAACACGATTTTTCAACGGCGCAAGATTGCTCAGCCAACGAACTGGGTAGACACCCTGGTGGCCATCAGACCCTTCCATACGGTTAGTTCTGTTACTCAGGAACAAGAGAATGGGAGGCATACACTCTACTTTGGCGATTCCCCCCTCGTAGCTGATTTTCTCGGGGTTCACATCCGGCGGTATCTAAGCGAAGAATAAGGACTGTCAATTTATAATGGCCTCTCAGCGCCCAGGACTAGAGACATACGGAGAAAGTGTCCGAGCTTCGTTGTCTTGTATCTGGATGGACACACTTCGAACACTGGCAGTTGTCCCTAATATCGGAGACAGTCAGGTAAGTATTCTTGGTTCGTCCTCTAGGCGTATTGATACATACCGAAGCCAAAATCGTCCACTACATTGAGCATTAACTGGTGTCAGCCTTACCACAACAGGAATACTGGGAGTAATCTTTCATTACTTACAATTTAGAAGTGGTCTTGTGCGAGGTCCTCATCACAATAGGCTGGTTTCTATATCCTGCAGAAGTGAATGGGTATACGAAATCGAGGGGTGTTGGTCTCTCTGCCTTAGCGGCCGTACGCGATGGCTTCACGGGAGATGGCGCTGCAGGCGATGAATCCTCCCGTTCTGTGCCAGATGGCTTCGCCAGAGTTGACTCCGGCCTTCTCGTCGTGGGAGAGAGGACATGACCGCGGGAGAGCGGAAGTGAGGGTCTGAGACCTTTTGAGAGACTCAGAGAGCCCCCAGCCTGAACACATTAGTCAGTTTCTTTCGGCTATTTCTTTTTCTTTTTCTTTTTCTTTTTCTTTTTCTTTTTTTTTCTTTCTATAACAACATATTTATGCTTCACCCACAAATTGTTTAAGCTTTGGAAGAATGCAAGGCGGGTATGCACTGTTGATCTATTAGCATACTCAAACAATCCCGTGCCACGGAGAGCATTTTACCCAGCTAACGCAGAGTGCCCCAGAGCTTTGAGAGATAAGAGCCTACTCATTTTCAACACTACGTTTTATCAATGGCACTCACGAAGGGACGTCGACGAGGTTGAGTTTGGCATCAGCCAACACCCCAGTTTCTCTCCACAACGTCATCTCGGCTGTCACGTGTCAGTCAACAACCATGTACAGACCCCAATAACAACACGCATTAATTCATTGGGCTCCAATTTCTTTGACTAATTTAATTTACTCAAAACAGAAAAAGCCTATTGGAACCCGGGACTGTGCCTTTTTACACACTAAAAAGCATTTTAGGATCCTTTCATTGGTTGAGAAGAAGCCTCGGTTACAAAGGCGTCGGGTAATAGCAATATAGGATAATGACAATAACTTTCGCAGCAAAAATTAATACGAATGGAACTGGTTCACTCAAATACTATAAACTAAGTATAGAAGTCATGGGGTAGCAAGGCCGTCCCACCCAACCCGTCACAGCTTGCTCTTCGATCCAGTGACCTTTAACAGACAACGGCCATTGCTCAGCACAACCTTGCCTCTGTTATTTGAGGTTACGAATCTGACTTCCTCGAACCCATCTTCAATGTTTCCTGTCCTCCAGATCTCAGTGGTAAGCTTGTCGCCTGGAAGCACTGGCGAAGCAAAGCGTGCCTGGAATTCTCTCAAATTCTTTGGGTCACTGCCTCCAAGCTCTCGCAGAATTCCGTGAGCGGCAGTGTTCCAACTGAAGAGACCGTGGATAATAACACCCCCAAATCCCATCTTCTGACCGGGCTCAGGTGTAGCATGAAGAGGGTTATAGTCGCCATTGAGACTAGCGAAAATACTATTAGCATGGAGATGCACTTCGAAGGATATTTAACTAGGTGGAAACTATCTCACCGATAGAGGAGAGCAGTTTCAGCTGTCGTCTGAACAATGTGAACTGCATCTGGCTTCTTGCCTTGAGGAGGGGGATAATTGACGGCGCTCGGTCCTATGAGAATGCAGTCAGCAGAGTGACAAAGCATCAATATGCAACACATGCTTACCCTTAGGTCCACCCCAATTGCCCTGTCCTACCATGAAACCGCTGCTCACCGTCTTGGTGTACACCTCCCCGTTCTCGTCCACGATGGACTGCTCCGTCTCGACGACTGAGCCAGCTTTGCCTTTATCGTAGACTCCAATGACCTTATTACGCAACTGAAACTTCTTGCCCGCGCTCGTGGGAGGTAAAGGTTTTAAAATGGTGATCTTGCGCTGGCCGTCTACAGCACGGCGAGAGTCGAATTTCGGGACGCCGGGGATGGGAGTTGCTTGCGAACGTGCATAGAAATCAATGGTTTCTTGATCAGTGTGCTTAAAAGCTACGTGGAACGGCCGCCACAGTCAGCATGCATGCATGTAAACAGCTTCGAGAGCTGGATAGCCATACGAAGGATCAAAGAATAAGTTGGGAAAACAGCGAAGTTAGGATGAAGCTCCTGTAGTCAATAGTTAGCGAAGTTGCCGACTGAAAGGTTATGGTTAATTATAGCTTACATAAAGGAAGTGAAGCTCGTCGGCCTTAGCACCGATGCTGTTGGCAAACAACAAAGCATCGCGCTTAAGCCAGGAGACCTCCTGAGGAGGATATTCAAAACCAACTCCGGGAGCCGACATGGGGGACAATGATAACGGTGGTCGCGTTGAGGAAAGCTTCAGGATTGATTTGTTTGGACAAGTAGATTTTCCGCTACGAAGGGAGTCTGAATTAGGATACTATAGGATCTTTCCAATTCTCAACGAAGGAGGACTCATAGACTATAGTCTTCACTTGCGGAGAATATATACTTACCGCTGTCGTACCGCCCTAGGCTAAGGGAGGACTAATCCGGTGCGGGGAAGCCGAGGCACGAATGAAATGGGGGAATGTTTCTGATTACAGACCGAGGGGCCTCAGGTTATCCAGTCGGCTCTCCCAAAATTAACTGGACTCCTCTGACCTTTTGAGTAATTAGTGGCCGCAAGAAAGATAAAATTATCTAATTGAAGTAGCAAGGACGTAAGTTTAGGTGTAGAACATGATGATTTGAAGCTAAATAACTCAAGAAGGAGAACGTCGGAGGGAATTGGGACTGAGCGTCGACTCGGGGTATCTACTTGGGTAATTCGAGGAGCTTCATAATCGTCTCTTGTGCAAATCATCTCTCCGTATCGCGCCGAACAATGATGCCGTTCCCCTACCTGCCAAAACACAACGCCGGATGAATAAGAAAAGAGAAAAAGAGCCGAACCAGGCCATTTCAACGACCCAAATGTCCAGACAATTGAACTTCCACTGATGCTATGCTTCCCACAATTGAACCCTCATGCATTTACCGACATAACATTGTTTACTCAGAAGAGAACATTGAAATAACCGAACGTGCCGCGATTCACCAGATCCAATATATTTAGCACCTATGACAATTAGCATTCAGCCGCCTGCAGGCTCGGCAGTGGAGACCCTTACATTCTATAGAAGCAGCTACCCTCGGAGTAACGAAGGTTATCGGTAGTCTCGAACTTGTAAGAGATACCGATGTCAAGATCACGCTTGTTCTTGTCATTGGGCTTGTTCTCCAACACTCCCGAAACCACTTCTCCCTCTTCGACGGTCAGAACGTCACGGAGGTAAAAGACGGTCTGCTTCCAGTGAGTGTACTTGGCGTGAGGGCCGGTAGAGAAGGTGATGGGCTTGTGGCAGGCACCAAACTCGATGTCGAACCAAGCGATCACAGCGTGGATGAAGTCGCTGCGCTTGGCAGCAAGAGAGAAGGGCACCTTAAAAGCGAGATCGGCCGGGGTGACGGTGTAGAGATCAAGGGTAATGATGGGGCAAGGGTCGGTGACGAGGGCCTTCAGCTCAACGGTGTCCACGAGAGGCTCCGTGAGGGCAATCTCCTTCATGGGGGAGTAGTCAAACCCGTACACATTATCCCAGACTGCAACTCAGTCAATATTTTGGAGAAACAAGCATAATTGAGAAAAGAACGCAAGGGCTCTTACATCCGATCTTGTCGTCCTTGTACTCGCCATCTTCGATAGCAGCCAAGTACATGGTAGCCTTGTCGGGGAAGATCTTGCCACCGGGATTAAGATAGCGGTCGCGGGCATAGAGAACAGTGTCCAGCATGCTCTCATAAAGGAGGAAGTATCCCATCCACTCGGAGATGATGATATCAACCTTGGGGTAAGGGAGGACAACCTCTTCCATCTTTCCTTGGAGAAGAGTGATTCTGTCCGACAGGCCGTTGCAAGCGACAATCTCCTTGGCCTTCTCAATGATAGAGGACATATCCACACCGATTACGTGCTTAGCACCAGCCTTAGCAGCAAACCTGTAGAGCCATGCTATCAGTATATAGAACAGGGTTCCATCCTAGCTCTGACCACATACATGCTGAGGATACCAGTTCCACAACCGACGTCGAGAACAACCTTGTCCTTGAAGATATGACGGTTTTGATAGATAGAGTCGCGGTAAGATCTGGTGCGGACATCGTCTTTCTACAATCGAGCACACAGGTATTAGTTGGTTGATATTAAAGGCTGAATACATAGTAGGGTACTTACAAGCATCTCCTCATGAATGCCTAAGTGGGGTTCAGGATTAGCCAGTGTATATCAACTGAGTTATCGATTGTAATTACCATGATGATCGTAGCTATTTCTCCTGTTAGCAATGCAAATGAATATGGAGCAAGGATTTCAACCCATACCTTGTGAAATAACGCACTTCAGCATGATCCATGCCCACCATGCGATCCGCACTGCTGGTCATGGTGCCGGCAGCCTCTGCGGATTGTGTCTGCTCCGATCCGTTCATATTCAAAATATTGAATCTTTCTAACAAAGAGGGGGAAAGGTAAGAAAGAAAAGGAACAAGCAAACAAAAAGGTAAAAAAAAAATCTAGAATTATAGATAAAAAGAGATAAGAAGGAAGAACTAGTTTAGGCAGGGTGGAAAAATAAGCGCCTCCGAGATAGATCCCTCCAACACTTTTTTTTCCCTTTTTTTTTTGCCTTACTGACCCTCATTGGAAAATCTCCTCCGACCGGGGCTACCAAACACCACAAAACGCTAATCTCCAATTCAGGCTAGCCCAACGTAGACAACGCTATCCCGGAATCAGTTAGTCACGTGAAAACTTAGAACCTCAAGATACCTGATCGGGGCTGGACTGCATTTATTGCTCCTTCTTTGCTGGGGGATATGTATATTTTCTCTATTGAGTATGGAATTGGCTCATGGTTAAAAAAAACTGATAATTATATAAAGTGACATTTTAGTCGAGGACTCCACTCTGAGTACGATAAAGTAGAATTTGATATCATACAACCTTCCTGAGAAACTCAAGAACTCATGTGCAAAGATATTTCAGTGTCACCGTGTTATAGTACTACTACTTGTAGGAAAGTTAGAAAGTGGGGCGTTTCGAATTGGACGACTCTTACCGAGTAAGATGCAGAGCTTCAAAGCTTCTAGCTGGAGGAGTTGTAGCTTGTATGCTCTTTTAATGCCAAGATGTTTGTATTGCCGCTGCTTAACTCCGCCTTCCACTGTTGGCACGCGCACTGCCACTTGCGCGGAAGTGCTTACTCTCCCCTGACGTTAGCACGTCCCCATCGGCGGTAATTCAGGTACACAGGGCACAATGTATTGGAGCTCAACCCGAAGGAAGGTTTTCTTCTACGCATGCTTTCTGGTCCTTGCTACTTTCATTGGGAAGTCGACTGCCTCCTTGGGCGACCATCTTCCCGATTTTAAAGAATGTGTTAAGGTATACAGCACCTCCAAGAGCTTCGGATTGACCGGCTAATCAACATATAGATCTGTCGAACTGAGAACTGTCAAGATGGAAATTCCATGATCCGTACGTTTGAACTCCCTGTAAACTACTGAGGTAACCTTCCCTAAACTCATTCGTCCTCTCTAGCTTTCCATCTCCGCTTAATGTGGTGGACCTGTCCCGCCGAATGCGACTATACTTGCCAGCATGTTGTAACGGACCGTCGAGTCGCTCGTGACCCTCCGATGCTCAACCCAGTAGTCCAGTTCCATGGAAAATGGCCTTTCCGCAGGATCATGGGTATGCAGGAGCCGTTCTCAGTCCTTTTCTCCCTCCTCAACTTCTATGCCCACTGGCACGGCTTATCTCGAATCCGCGAAACCCTGTCGACATGGCATACTTCTCTACGGACTTACTATCTTGCTTTTGGATATTGCGGCCTGGCATGCTGGACCTTCAGCAGTATCTTCCACGCCAGGGACTTTACTTTGACAGAGAAGCTGGATTATTTCGGAGCGGGCGCAAATGTCATGTATGGATTATACCTGGCGATTATCAGGATATTTCGATTAGACAAGGAGGAGCCGCGAACGAAACCGACATTGCGTCGGCTCTGGACCGTGGTGTGTATCTTCCTCTATACTTTGCATGTTTCCTATCTCAGCTTCTGGTCCTGGGATTACACCTATAATATGATCGCGAATATCGTGGTCGGGATGACCCAGAACTTGTTGTGGGTAGCATTCAGCATTTTCAGGTACCGAAGTACCGAGAAAACGTGGACTCTCTTGCCGGCCATCTGTGTGGTTTGGATCATGTTGGCCATGAGTCTGGAGTTGCTGGATTTCCCTCCATGGCATGCGCTCATTGATGCCCATAGCCTCTGGCACCTGGGAACTGTTATTCCAACCGCGCTGTGGTATATGTAAGTTCGCGCCTCATTAGAACCCCTTCTTACCAACCGTCATGCTAATTCGACTGTGACCGATAGGTACCTAGAAAAGGACATCGAAGAGGATGTGCGGGGCAAAAGATACAAAGCCTGAACAAATAGAGAATTCTCGGCTATAGGTGAATACTCATGGCCTGAGAATAGTACGTCAGTTGCTGTATAGTAGGTCCAGGTGACCGAGAATCTATGAGTGTTAGATGCTGGTGACAAGATCTAAGAAGTTCATATATTCTAGCCATTAAAACCCATGTATTTAAGCTATTTCTATTTTCTATTACCCAACGCCTGGATTGGATTTAGGGCATTTCCACTGTCTTCTTAAGTTGGGTGTCGAACGGTAACAAATGCGCATGTTCCCGCTCACCGCTCGGGGGGGCTGTACCCAAAGCTTGGGTTGTCTCACATTTATCTCGTGTCACGGGCCCTGCTACTTTTTTCCCCTTTCGACCCAAGCTTTATACCTTCCTTTCCCCCTACCCCTCTTCGCCTCTTGCATCCCTTGTCAATTAACTCCCGCCAATTTCTAACCCATCCTCAACACTCTCTTGACCCATATTCACGCCACAATGGCGTCCCCCGCTATCAAGAAAGCCATCACCGAGGCCGCAGCGCAGTATGTCAAGCCGGAGGGAAAGGTCTTCCAGTATGGTACTGCGGGGGTGAGTTATTAATGATCGACCTCACTTCCTTATTAAGTACTGACCAAATTTCCTTGTCTTGCAGTTCCGTATGAAGGCGTAAGTTCTACGTTTATATTTATTTTCACGCCAGGTCTTTGGAAGGATCAGCCCCGCCTCCACATATACCCCGCGATCGCCATTTGTTTACACTTTGACCAACGCATATCTCCAGTGACGTCCTCAACACCGTCGTCTTTGCTGTGGGCTTGCTCGCTGGTCTCCGCTCCAAGAAGCTCAGTGGACAATGGATTGGTGTCATGATTACTGCCAGTCACAACCCTGCGGAGGACAACGGTGTCAAGTTGGTTGACCCCATGGTGAGTTGTGGCAGCCACCCCAGAAATAACCTCATATGAAGCAGTTGCTAACTGACATACCAAAATAGGGTGAAATGCTTGAGGTAAGCTTCGCCAACAGTGAGTTTAACTGTTACGGTTGCATATTTACTTAATCCTTGGGTAGGCTGAATGGGAAACCTATGCGACAAAGCTTGCCAATGCTCCGCTGGACAAAATTGCAGATGTTTACGAAGAGCTCATCAAGGAGATTGATATCAGCATGGAAAACCCCGCTCGCGTTGTTTTTGCCCGGGATACTCGTGCCTCTGGTTCTCGTCTTGCCGGTGTTCTCAACGCTGCGCTTACCGCTACAGAGGTTGAGTTCTCTGATCTGAAATTCATGACCACTCCCCAGCTTCATTACGTTGTCCGCTGCAAGAACACCTTGGGAACGCAGTATGAGTACGGTGAACCCACAGAGCAGGGTTACTATGAGAAGCTCGCCAAAGCTTTCAAGAGTGTCATGCGGGGTCTCAAGGTTAAGGGCTCTTTGACCGTTGATTGCGCAAATGGTGTTGGCGGACCTAAGCTGAGAGAGCTCCTTAAGTACCTTCCTGGCCCGGAGGAGGGTGGTATCGATATCAAGGTTATCAACGACGATGTGATCAACCCGGATAGCCTCAACTTCGATGTATGATCTCTTTATTGGTCCCATCGTATCCATACTAACCTACATACTAGTGCGGTGCCGATTATGTCAAGACCAAGCAGCGCGCTCCCCCCTCATCCAAGGCCGCGGTTCTTGACCGTTGTGCCTCCTTGGATGGCGATGCCGACCGTCTTGTCTACTATTTCGTCGACGAGAGCAATGTTTTCCGTCTTCTTGACGGTGACCGTATTGCCACTCTTGCCGCTGCGTTTATTGGTGACCTTACCAAGAATGCCGGCATCGCGCAGAAGCTCAAGATTGGCATCATCCAGACTGCGTATGCCAACGGAGCTAGTACAGAGTACATTGAAAAAGTGCTCAAGCTTCCCTCCGTTTGCACTAACACTGGCGTGAAGCACCTTCACCACGCTGCCCTGCGTTACGATGTTGGTGTCTACTTCGAAGCCAACGGTCACGGCACTATTACTTTCTCTGAAAATGCCCTGAAGATTATCAAGAGCACCGAACCGCAGTCTCCTGCTCAGCAACGTGCTCTTGAGTGCCTCCAGGGTCTCACCGATCTGATCAACCAAGCAGTTGGCGATGCAATCTCCGACATGCTTCTCGTTGAAGCGATCCTTGCTCACAAGGGCTGGACCCCCAAGGAGTGGCTTAGCACCTACACTGACCTCCCCTCCCGGCTGGTCCGTGTCGAGGTTGCTGACCGCTCGATCTTCAAGGCGTACGATGCTGAGCGTAAGCTCGAGTCCCCTGCTGGCCTCCAGCTCAAGATCGAATCCCTCCAGTCCCGCTACAACAAGGGAAGAAGCTTTGCCCGCGCAAGTGGCACGGAAGATGCGGTGCGTGTCTACGCTGAGGCTGCCAGCCGCTCTGAGGCTGACGATCTCGCAACCCGCGTCGCCAACGCTGTCCGTGATGCCGGCGCCGCTAAAGAGATCTTGCAATCTTAGGTTTTGGAATATCAAATACCCTAACGAATTATAAGTGGTTCCCTGGAACTGTGTGATTGGAAGCTATCTGATAACGTGCAAAGATACCTTACCCATGCATGGATGAAGCTTTGTGTCATCATGGCCAGGCCATCACAAATCGCAGGGTTAACGACCTTGCTCAAAACTTCGCAATGTCGTCGCATTATAGAGGTAATGGGAACTGTTATGAACGATCTGATGAGTTTTCTTTTGATGTCAATGCAGAGCAAATCTGACTCGATTTAGCCATTCCTTATAGTACTTTTTTAAAATTGACTAGAAGTTAGCAAGACCTAGTAGCTAATCGGAACAGGGCCTAAGGTCACCATAACAAGTAATCTATGTAACACTCAGTACAAGGATCACTGAATTCATTTATAAACTTCATTTGGGTATTCGTTAGCAATAAGCGAAATCTACATTTAACTTTTCTCCCACTAGCCCTCTTCCTGGTCCATATCCTCTCGAGACCGCTTCCCTTTGGCAAACTTCTTGCCCCGACTTCCCCTTTTCTCGTCGTAGTTCTTCATTTCCAGGATAGCACTGCGTTGCGCTTCAGATACACGCTCTGCAAGGACCATGACCTCGTCCTTCTCAGCCGGGTATTCAGGGAGTTTCTTTCCCAGCGCGCCCTCAATACGAAGCCATGCCTCGACATCATATTGCGTAGCGAAGCTGATAGCCACACCCGACTTACCAGCACGGGCTGTACGACCAATTCTGTGGATGAAAGTTTTCCTAACTCCCGTTAGTCTCACATCTTCACCAGATCAAACTATTCTAGGGAAGAGCCACTTACGAATCACCAGGCAAATCAAAGTTCAAAACCACATCAACAGAGGGGATATCAAGACCACGAGCCGCGACATCCGTCGCAACAAGGATATCCCGACTCCTCGAACGGAACTTTCCGAGCGCACCCAAACGAGCAGACTGCGAAAGCTGGCCATGCAGTGGGATGGCGCCAAAGCCGAGCAATCTCAGAAAGAAGCTGAGACGCTGGGTCTCGTGTACGGTGCGACAGAAGATGATGCACGATTGGCCAACGAACTCGTTGAGCAGGTAGACCAAGTACAGGTCCTTGTGTTTGTGGGGGATGAAGACGTAGGATTGTTGGAGGGTGGAGACGGTTTGGAATTTAGATGAGGAGACGGCGACACGGAGCGGGTTTTGAAGCGATGCGCGCTGCAGAGACTCGACCTTTGAGCTCATGGTTGCGGAGAAGAGGTAGGTGCGGCGCTCGCGAGGGAGCACTTTCAGGATCTTGTCAAGGATGGGACCGAAGTCCATGTCTAGGAGACGGTCGGCTTCGTCCATGACAAGGTATTTGAGGTTGCGGAGGGAGAAGCCTTTGGTGTTTTCGAGGTGGTCTAGTAGACGTCCGGGGGTGGCTACGATAATGTGAGGCTTCGGGTTTTGTTAGATTTCTGCTCGGTTGCCTGTTTGCTCGAGTTGGGCTGGGTAATTTTACCTTCTTTCCTAGTGCGATCGATTGAGATACCATATCCATGCCTCCAACAAGAACTGTGCTTCTCACGGAAATTGTACTTCCTAGACCCTCGAAGGCTTGGGAGATCTGGTATGCCAATTCACGGGTGGGCGCGAGGACGAGACCGAAAAAGGAAGAAGGCTTCTCCATCAGGGCTTGGAGGATAGGCAGTGCAAAAGCGGCGGTTTTACCGCTACCGGTTTCTAGCACGAGTGTTAGTGAAGTGCTACAATGACATGGGACGTGGAGGTAATGCTATACCAGCCAAACCGATCAAATCGCGGCCTTGAAGAGCGAGAGGAATGGCTTCCGCTTGAATCGCGGTGGGAGCCTTGTACCCCATGGAATCGCAAGCCTCGCATAATTGCTCAATGAGGCCCAGTTCCTTGAAAGACTTTGGGGCCTGTGTAGGCGCTTCAGATGGTTCTTGTTCTTGCTCTGTAGTATTGGGAGCGGCATCCTCAGAAGCAGAGCTGTGGGCCTCGCTATCGCTATGGTCTTCTTGTTGAGGCGCCTCACGGGCAATCTTGCGCTTCTTAATCGCCGGCATATTGAATCAATATATGACACCAAAGGTTTGTACTCGGTGGATTTATGGAATGGTTTCTTTTTTCCTGATAGTTCGATATCAAAAAATCAGTGTGGGTCCCGGTAAAACAGTTGGTCCGGAGTTGCTCCGCGGCCTGGTTTCCGCCGATCTACTTTTTCGGCCAAGAAAAAAAAGTGCGTCTTTCTTTGGACGTTGAATAACATTTCCCTCACACCACATATCTACCATATATTTCCTTCTTTGCCAGATTCACCATGGCGAAGGCACGTACGAAGAAGCGCACTCATGTCCGTGCCCAAAATGCCTCGGCCGCGGCCGCCAAAGGCAGCGCCTCGTCCATGAGCAAGACTCCCAAGTCGATGGTTATCCGTATCGGCGGTTCGCAAGTCGGTTCGAGTGTCAGTCAATTAGTGAAGGATGTCCGTTTGATGATGGAGCCCGACACTGCTGTGCGACTGAAGGTATGAGATTGTAAAACCCCAATGCGCTTTTCGAAAAGAAACTAACGGTGATATCCTTCAGGAACGTAAATCAAACAGACTGAGGGATTACACCGTCATGGCGGGTCCTCTCGGTGTCACGCATCTTATGCTATTCTCCAAGTCCGCTACGGGCAACACGAACATGCGTCTGGCGCTTACGCCGCGTGGCCCAACACTCAACTTCAAAGTCGAGAACTACTCTCTGTGCCGGGACGTCGAGAGGGCATTGAAGCGTCCGCGAGGCGGCGGCCAGGACCACAAGACCCCACCCTTGCTGGTGATGAACAACTTCAACTCCCCGAATGCAACCGAGGACGGCAAAGTACCAAAGCGCCTCGAGACTCTCACAACCACTATCTTCCAATCTCTTTTCCCGCCGATCAACCCCCAAGCTACCCCTCTCTCCTCTATCCGCCGTGTGATGCTCCTCAACCGAGAACTCAATTCTGATGGCCAAGAAGATGACTCTTACGTCTTGAATTTGCGACACTACGCTATTACTACCAGGAAGACCGGAGTTTCAAAACGCATTCGCCGTCTGGATCCTAAGGAAGTTCGTAATAGGGAGAAGAGGGGCGTTGCTGTTCCTAATCTAGGAAAGCTGGAAGATGCTGCCGATTATCTTTTGGATCCATCAGCCGCGGGTTATACCTCCGCTAGTGAAACCGAACTAGACACCGATAATGAGGTTGAGATCGCAGAGAGCACAACGAAGAGAGTTCTAAATAAGAGGGAGCTGCAGCGTATGAAGGCTGGCGAGAAGGAGAAAGCTGAGAAGAAATTGAAGGCCGCGCCAGAAGTGGAGAAGCGCGCGGTCAAGCTGGTCGAATTGGGCCCCCGCTTGAAGCTGCGGTTGATCAAGGTCGAGGAGGGTCTCTGCGACGGCAAGGTCATGTGGCACGACTACATCCATAAGTCCGAGGAGGATATGAAGAAGCTGGATAAGAACTGGGAAAAGAGAAAGAAGGAGAAGGAAGAGCGGAAGAGGCAGCAGAAGGAGAACATTGAGAAGAAGAAGGCAGAGAAGGCCAAGGCCCGGGCTGAAGGCAAGGAAGTTGAGGACGACGATGACGAGGAAATGGAGGTGGATGATGATGATGAGGATGACTGGCTCAGTGATGATTTTGATGAAGAGGGCGCGGGCCAAGAAGGAGAGGAGGATGAGGATGAATCCATGGAGGAGTAAACGGAGCGTCAGTCTTGGTTCCTTTATATTTTCACGAAAAGCGACTTCTCGCGCTATATCATGTCCCAAAGGCACGAGAAATTATATGGAGGCCCCAGACCCGCCTTCGCTACCGTCTTCCGTTGTCGTTCATGTGCACGGGTCGACTGGGCGAAGCCAGCATTCACATCCGCTCGGCTGGATTAACGACATAGAGGATCGAGCCGGATCTCCCTGGCTTTCGGATTTGCTACCAAAGCCTTCGAATATCTTTAGCAGGAATTGCGCGGAGACTGGGGGGGTCGGAGGGTTGTTACAAATAGACCATCATTTAGGTGACCAGATTTATACCCTTTGTTGAAAAGCAATAAAAAAGTAATTGGTATTTCAACCGACAAATATGCTAGTATCATAACCTCATAGACACATCATTTCTTCAACTTCTCATCCACAATCCTCGAAACCATCTTCTCCAAAATGGCAAAATCACCTCCACCAGCTCCGGCAAAATAACTCTGCACACTCTTCTCAACATACTTCCCAACAATATCAATCTCCACATTCACATCCTCCCCGACCTTCTTCGAAGCCGTCACAATCTTCTCCTGCGTATACGCAATAAGCATAATCTCAAAATACCCCTCCTCTCCATCCACCACCTTCGTAACCGTCAAACTCGCCCCATCAAGCGTCACATAACCCTTCTCAACAATATACCTCAACACGCCCCGGTCACGAGGCTGCAACCGCAACACCAACGCATTACTATCCGGCGTAACAGAGAGAATAGTCGCGATTGTATCAACATGACCTTGAACGAAGTGTCCACCCATGCGGGTTTCGCTAAGGACGGCGCGCTCGAGATTCACTCGGGAGTTGGTGGTCAGGGAGCCTAGGTTCGTGCGACGGAGGGTTTCGGGGGCGACACCGACTTTGAACCATGTTTTGTCGAAGGCCGTAACTGTTAGACAGGTTCCTGTGTGTTTTTTTTTTTTGGGGGTTAGTTGTGAGTGAGTCAGTGGTTTTAGTGGGGGTTGGGATTTTCGATGCGGGGTGAGTGAGTGGTGGGTTGCGGGCGCAATGATAGGTGAGTTTTCTGTGAGTGTGTGTGTGAGTGAGTGTGTGTGTGCAGAATAGCGTACCATTTACTGCGATGCTGTCGCCGAGATGTGCGTCGTTCAGGATCTCTTCGCAGTTCGTGATAGTCAATGAGGTACCCCCGCCCCCGCTTGCGGAGGTATCGAGGGGCTCGAGGGACGAAACCGCTGGGATATGTTAGTTGCGCGAGCAGTGGTAGTTGATTGGAGGGGGTGTACTCACTCCCGATTGTTTCGACAAGACCGGTGAACATGGTGTGAGGAGGTGTATAGTAGAATACAGTTAGTTTGTGAATGAACTCCGCGGCAGTTGAAGCGGAAGAGAGCGGAAGATCCAAGAGCTATAAGTAGATAAATTTAATGAATGACACACAGCTCTTCTCCGCCCACCACGCTTGGAGCTGTCCCGCCGCGCGGGAGTGATCAATTACCTAAGGAAAAAGAGAATCAAAATTGAAAAAAAAATATATATATATTAAAATGAACAGTGATATACTGACATTCTCATCTACTATAGAAAACCAAAACAATATACCCAAAAGATAATAGAATAGCACCCATGTTTCTCCCGCGCCGGCTTTCCCGCTCGGCGCTAAAGGCGGAAATGCATGCTTAATCGACCTCGGCTTTTGGCGTTCAATCTAGTCAAGCTATCGGCGAAGTACCCGAATGAAATGATAGAAAACATCTCCAATCGAGCTCCGGTCCCGGTCCCCGGAAAGGACAGTACATGATATACATGCGTGATAAGCCCAACTTTACATGACTTGGATCTGATTCAACCTTTCTCTCTTCTTGGAATCCATATGTACCGCTTCAATTGAACAACAATGAACGTCACGTTGAAGTTGCACCAGGCTGTTATCGCCCGTCGGCCAGCTCTTCGCTGGTCGAGCTCGGTTCTCCGCCGCACCACAACTCCATGGCGCACATACTCCAGTACACCGGCGGACGATACCCTGCCCTTGAAGGGCGTTCGGGTGCTTGATATGACGAGAGTTTTGGCTGGTGTATGTATTTTTGATCCAGGTTTTCTCTAATATTTCTATAATATTGTTGGGGTGCTGACCATGGTATAGCCATACTGTACACAGATTCTTGGAGATTTAGGGTATGTGTGTCACCGTTACCGGTGTTGAGTACAGTCCTGGTAGGTAATAGCTGACTTGTACTCTCTGGAATAGAGCAGATGTTATTAAAATTGAACACCCAGTGCGGGGCGATGACACTCGCGCCTGGGGACCGCCATACGCCAAATACCAGGATGAGTCCCGACAAGGTCCTGGCGAAAGCGCATATTATCTAGGGGTAAGGTCCATCGCTCATCTCCAGATTTCGCACTCCGTTGACATGGACTGGGGAACAGGTCAACCGCAACAAGAAATCCTTAGGACTGTCATTTCAACACAAGTCGGGCGTGGAGATCCTGCACCGCCTTGCGAAAGAATGCGACGTTCTCGTCGAGAACTACCTCCCCGGAAGTCTGAAGAAATATAATATGGACTACGAAACCCTGCGGGAGATTAACCCCAAGCTGATCTACGCGAGTATCACCGGATACGGCCAGACGGGCCCGTACAGTAACCGGGCTGGGTATGATGTCATGGTCGAGGCGGAGATGGGCTTGATGCATATCACTGGGGCCAGGGATGGGGATCCGGTGAAGGTTGGTGTGGCGGTTACGGATTTGACGACGGGGTTGTATACATCTAACGCGATCATGGCGGCGCTGCTGGCCCGCATGAGAACGGGTAAGGGTCAACATATCGATGCTTGCTTGAGCGATTGTCAGGTCGCGACGCTGGCGAATATTGCTAGCTCTGCGCTGATTAGCGGGGAGAAGGATACTGGAAGATGGGGGACCGCGCATCGTAAGTACTGAAGTTTTAAGAGAGAAAAAGTTGCGGATTCTGACGGCTCTAAAGCTTCCATTGTTCCATACCGGAGTTATCAGACGCTGGATGGAGACATTCTCTTTGGCGGCGGGAACGACAGACTGTTCGGTGTGTTGTGCGACCGTTTAGGACACCCCGAGTGGAAGACCGATCCTCGGTTTGTTACCAACAGTGACCGTGTCAAGCACCGACAGGAGATCGATGGTCTCATCGAGGAGAAGGTCAAACAAAAGACGACACAAGAATGGCTGGAGATCTTGGAAGGCAGCGGGATGCCATATGCCGCCGTCAATGATATTCAAGGGACCCTCAACCATTCTCACGGTAAGCTACCATCCACATGATATCTTGTCACAGCTGTTACTAAGATCAATGGTACAGTCCAAGCGCGTGGAATGGTCACCGAAGTCGATCATCCAGCATGTGGTCCCATCAAGCTAGTCAACACGCCGATTAAGTATTCCCATGCCACTCCTGGCGTGCGGACGCCGCCCCCAACCCTTGGCCAACACACGGACGAGATTCTTGGGGAGATCCTCGAATACGGTAAGGATGACATTGCTCGTTTGAAGCAAGACGGTGTAGTGTCATAAAGAAGACAACCGGTTCGCCATCGGCTAGACGTTAAAGAGCCGTAATATGCATCGAACACGGGAGAAGCACTTGTAAGGGTTTAACTGCAGCGCCTCGGCCTTGCATCGCTCTGGTACCAGTAGCACCTTTTGTATATAGAGATCGCAATGAGTGAATGAAAAGGTTAGCCACGATCATTCCGTCCGAAAGCATGATTGACACGAATTCTTAAAGGGATGAATCTCGCTTTCCAGGGCGCGGGGGGATTCCCATCACGTGACCATATATAAGTTTCAATCTTTGGGTCCGTCGCAAAGCGAATTCTGCGCCGTTCAGGATAGTCGATACTCCTAAGTCGTGTGATTATACACAATCACCCATAAATTCCGCGTTGTAACCGTGTCCCACTGGCCAGGGCAGGGGGGGCTAATGTCACAGCAACATGGGGTTCTTCCCACGTCGGCGTCTATAGAGACAGCGCCACCAGCAGCCCACGGAACCTCCTCGGGCTTGCATACATCGGCTCCCACCGTCGAGCGGGTCTCGCCTTCCCTGTCGCCCTCATTGAAACCTAGCCGCCCACCGAGCGCAATCTCGAGTAAAGTACATATCCCGAAATTGTCCCCCGCGACCACTGAACTCGTGGCTCGGGTCACTGGCCATAGGAAAGGAGAGAAGCAGAGGAATGAGACTAAATTCGTGACGTGGAACCCACCATCACTCAGTCAAGGCTGGAATCATCCACGCATCCAACCATCAGGCACAATGAAGGCCTCTTCTACCATAATAGAGCTGCCAACAGCTCCGTTCGTGTACTCGAGTCATATGACAACCCCTGCGGTTTCTCAACAGGCTCCTGCTACTGCTCCTTCCACTGCATCTCCATCTACTACACATACATATACATCTACATCTACATCTACACTTCCCCAGGGTAGTCTTGACAAGCCAACCAGCCTTGTTAATATTGCACCTAGACCCGCGGGGCCACCTTCAATGGGAGCCCCAGCACCACCGCAAGATTCACTACTACTACTACCACCACCACTGCCTTCACAACCCCAGCCTATAGCCCCGGCGGCTAAAGATTCACCCCCATCCGCTAAGCGCAAGAGAGCAGCAGGTGGTCCACGCCAACGAAAAAGTACCACCAACGGACCTAAGCGCAAGAAGCGCCGGCGTGGTAACGACAGTGATGGAGAAGATGTCATCCGAGCAGGAGACTCGAGCTCCGATGAATCTGACGTTGCGCCGACGGCGACACAAACTAAATCTGGTCGGCAGGTCAACCGTCCTTCTTTATATGTACCTCCGTCCGCGTCACCGACGGTTGCCAAGGACAGCAGTAACTCGCTGGACGCATCGGATACCACTCAACGGCAGGGCGCGGCTGCTCGGAAACGTAAGCGGGTGTATCGCAAACCAAAGGATGGCATCGTCAGTTGTATCCACTGCCAGAGGGGACATAGTCCGCAGAGCAACGCTATCGTCTTCTGTGATGAGTGCAATGGGCCCTGGCATCAGCTATGTCATGATCCTCCGATTGACTCGCAGGTTGTCACCGTGAAGGAAAGACAATGGGTCTGTCGGGGATGCAAGCCCGTGCCGATCACCATTGTCCAGCCGACGGTTGTTCGGAGCAATCCTAGTCTCACGGGTCCGTCGTTAGGTCCTCCCGTGCATGTGCCGTTAATAATGCCCAAGACGGAAGTAGGAGGGGAAGGCTTCTCGGCCGATGAGCGACGGGGCTTTCTATCGGGGTTGTCGCATGCGACTCTTGTCGAACTACTGGTCACTTTGTCCGACCAACACCCGGCGATACCCATGTTTCCTAAGAATTTAAAGACTCTCCAGTCGAAGTTCTCATTCAAGCTGAACACTGCGGCGGTGCCCACTCCATCCTCAACCTCCTCGAATACCCCAACCATCACTAACTCGATCCCCCACGCTTTAACCAATGGTGTAGACACGGCCCGGCAAAAGTCAGGTGTTACTCCCGAATTCCTGCCTACTCCTTCTTCCGCGCCCCAAACGCAGCATGACGACCTGTCCGAGGAGTCCGAGTATGAATTCTCAGAGCACCGCCTGTACCCGCGTGCCGGGAACGGATTCCGTTTGTCGACGAATGCCGACGACATGGATATTATGTTTGAAGACGCCTCATGTCGCACGTTCAGCTACGCATTACACGGACCGGCACGGGTTCGAGCGCAGGCGAACCAAGTTGCACCTATCTGGGGTTCGTGATCCTTTCTCTTGGGCTCTTTCGTCCATCTTATCCTTGGATGTATAGCATTGTGATTGGGTGATTTGGGGTCTTTTTTTTTTTTCCCCGGTTCATATATCCCCGAGGGTTCAAAGAGCAGGAGTTAGTTGGTATGGGTTATACTATGGGATTTGGAGTCAGGTTATGATTTTCCGCGATGAATGGTTTGACGGATTACCAGGTCGTTACGTTGCATGCCATATTACATTAGATTTTTGTTCACATTTTTTTTTTTTTTT